AAAATATTGATTAGAAAAAAAAATTTTTTAGATTTCTAATACAAGATTTTCAAGCACATAATATAAAGACTTCTACATGTATACACAGAAATAATGCAAATCATTCACCAATAGCGTATATATTACATTCAGATAGTACAGGCTCTAGAACAATTGTAAATTATAACAGGTAATCATTTATCATATTATATTTTTCATTTAAAATATCTCATTCTACGATATATAATATAGTATAGATGAATTAATATTTGATGAATTTAAACACAATTTTGATAAAATTTGTACCGAAGAAATAGTCGAAGATGACGATAAGATTATACCTTTTAATTGGATTCATTTTGAAGGACGTAATGCAGAAGAAGAGGCAAAGATGATTGATTATATTGACACTAAAGAATGGAGATCTAAAGCTATGGTTAGCGTAGAAATGGAAAAACCGTATCGTAGAAATTTAGAAGTCTTGATGCATAGAGCCGATGTATTATTTTTTTCAAAAGTTTTTGCTGAAGGGAAAGGATACAATGACGCAGGAAATTTTTTACAAATAATGGCACCATTTTGTAAAAATACGTTAGTATTTGTTCATTTAATATGAATATTTGTATTTGTGTGTGATTAATTAAAAAATAGATATTCTAATTCAATCCAACTCAATTTAGCGCATATTTGTTTTGTACATGGGGAAGTTCAGGTGCCATGTGTTATCACAATCCAACACAAATGCTGTATAATTCTCCTGCTTTTCCAATACCCAATATTGTTGATTCTGTAGGAGCAGGTGATACATTTATTGCTGGGGTGATCTATGGATTAACTCAAGAATTATCACCTGATGTTTGTTTAAAATTTGCGTGTGAATTAGCAGGACGTAAATGTGCACAGATTGGTTTTAATAAAGTTGTGGAGAGAATGGGAAAATTGTTTTAAAGCAAAGGTATAGGAAGAATGGATGTGGTAAGTAGTATGTGAATGAGATGAACGATTAATAGATAGTAATTTAATTTCATAAAATATAGATTAATTTATTTTATAATATTTTTTAAAAAATGGTATAAATAGCATAATATTAATAATTACAATTAAGTTAATTAATAATAATAAATTAATAAATTCTTGTTGTTTTTAAACGTTGAACATGTTTAAGAATATTGTCTTTATTTTGAATATTTTAGAGATCAAAAAAATTTTTGGTCAAAATTTTTTGTTATTTTCTTGGACATTACAGAAACTTGAACCTAAGCCACGAAATGTTATATTTTGTTATGTATATTCTGCGGAATTATTTAACCGAACTTCTGCAAACTTCATGTTCCTTTTGCATACAAGCGACTTGGACTTGAAAGAAATTCGATATAGTCCAGTTTGGATGATAGTAACATCGTTGTAAACAGCGTTTTTCTCTTTCTTCTAGTTATTATGACAAAAAAGAATATATGAGAAATTTATATAAT